CTGATCCGAAGCCAGGGGCCGGGTGCTTCCTCCTGGTTTCCCATGCGGATGCAGGGCCCAAGCACTTGGGCCATCCTCCACTGCCTTCCTGGGCCACAGCAGAGAGCTGGACTGGAAGAGGAGCAGCTGGGACTAGACCCCAGCTCCCATATGGGATGTTGGTGCTGCAGGTGGAGGATTAACCAAGTGAGCCACATGTTTTTAAAAGAACTTAATTCACTGTTTTAGGAAAAGAAAATAGTGTTTTCTTTAGATTTCATGTACATGGCTTGTTTTGGATTCAAATCCTTTATGTTTTGTTCACCTTATTGATAAAGCTTTCTTTTTTAACAATGCATTTTTTGAGATATAATTCACATTGTGCTTACAACGTTCTGTAACTACCACCCCTATGTAATTCCTGATTATTTTCACCATGCGCAGTTAGGCTACATTTCCCCTTTCTACTAGTGCCTTGCAACTACTAATCAACTTGATGAATTTGCCTATTCAGGACACTCCACAGAAAAGTAATCAGATAGCACATGGTCTTTTGTGACCAGCTGCTTTCACTTAACACAATCTTTTTCATGTTCTTTCATATTGTAACACATATCAGTACTTACTTTTTGTTGCTGATTAATACTCCATTGTATAGATACATCATATATGGTTTATATGATTATGAATTGATGGCATTTGAGTTGTTTCCATGTTTTGGTTATTATGAATAATGCTGTTTTGAGTATTTATGTGCAAGTCTTGTGTAAGCATAATGTTTTAATTTCCCTTGGGTATATACATAGAATTGGAATTCCTGGGTCAAATAGTAACTCTGTATTTAACTCTTTGGAGACAGTCCAGATGTTTTCCAAAGTGGCTACACCATTTTACATTTGCCTCAGTAGCATATGAGGGATCTCATTTCTCCATATTCTTGCCAACATCTGTTATTACCTAATTATAGCCATCCCTGTGGGTGTTAAGTAGTATTTTGTTGTGGTTTTGATTTGTCTTTCCCTGATGACAAATGGTGTTGAGTGTCCTTTCATGTCCTTACTGGTCATTTATATGTCATCTTTGGAGAAATAGAAATTCATATTCTTTGCCTATTTTTTTATATTTATATTTTAGTTTATTTAATGAACATAAATTTCCAAAGTACAGCTTATGGATTACAATAGCTCCCCCCCACCCATAACTTCCCTCCCACCCACAACACTCCCCTCTCCCACTCCCTTTCCCCTTCCATTCACATCAAGATTAGTTTTCAATTATCTTTATATACAGAAGATCAATTTTGCATATATTAAGTAAAGATTTCAACAGTTTGCACCCACACAGAACACAAAGTGTAAAATACTATTTGAGTACTAGTTATATAGCATTTATTAAACACCTAAGAGTAATTGTGTATTAATTACAGAGTTCAACCAATAGTTTAAAGTAGAACATAAAAAATACTAAAAGGGTAAAGTATTAAGTTCTTTTTTTTTCTTTTTCTTTTTTTTTTGTTTGTTATATAGTTTTTTTATTTAATAAATGTGAATTTACAAAGTGCAACTTTTGTATTGTTGTGGCCCCCCCCAACCTCCCTCCCTCCTGTGGCCCTCCCCTCTCTCACTCCCTCTCCCATCCCGCCCTTCATCGAGTTTCATTTTCAATTACCTTCATATACTGAAGATCAACTTAGTATATACTAAGCAAGGATTTCAACAGGCTGCACTTACACAACCACACAAGGTATAGGGTATTGTTCGACTAGTAGTGTTGTTTTTTAAGTTTCATAGTAGAACACATTAAGGGCAGAGATCCTACGTGGGGAGCATGTACCCAGTGACTCCCATTGTTGATTTAACAATTGGCACTCTTATTTATGACGTCAGTAGTCACCCGAGACTCTTGCTATGAGCTGTCTAGGCTATGGAAGCCCCTTGAGTTCACCGACTCTGAACTTGTTTAGTCAAGGCCGTAAAACAGTGGAGGTTCCTTCCTCCCTTCAGAGAAAGGCACCTCTCTCCTTGATGGCCTGTTCCTTCTGCTGGGGTGTTGTTCACCAGGATCTTTCATTTAGATTGTTTTTTTCTTTGCCTATTTTTAAGTTATTTTTATTTTAGAGTTGTAGGTGTTTATATATATATTCTAAATACAAGTTGCTTATCAGATAAATAAATATAATTTGCAAATTTTCTCCTGTGGCTTTTTCTTTTTCCACTTTGTTTATGATGTCCTTTGAAACACCTACATTTTTAAGTTTAATTAAATCTAGTTTACTTAGTTTTTTCTTTGTAAAGATTTATTTATTTCTTTGAAAGTTTCAGGGACAGAGGGGGATTGAGAGAGATCATCCGTTTATTGGTTCACTCCCCAAATGCTTGTAATAGCTAGGGGTAGGCCAGGCCTCAGCCAGGAGCCAGAAATTCCATTTAGGTCTCCTACATGAGTGGCAGGAACCCAAGTACTTGAGCCATCACCTGCTGCCTCCCAGGGTCTGCATTAGCAGGAGACTGCATCATGAACTGTAACTGACACTCAAAATAGGCACTTTGATAAGGGATTCAGATGTCCCAAGTGACAGCTTAACCTACTGTGCTACAATGCCCACCTCTAATTTTTTCTTTGGTTGTTTATGATTTGGTATCAAGTCTAAGAAACCATTGCCAAATCCAAGCTCACAAACATTTACTTTATTTCTTTTTAAGAATTTTGGGGGAACTATTGCTGTGGTGTAGTGGGTAAAGTTGCTGCCTGATGTGCTGGTATTCCTTATGGGCACTGGTTCGAGTCCCAGCTGCTCCACTTCTGATCCAGCTCTTTGCTTATGGCCTGGGAAAGCAGTGGAAGATGGCCCAAGTGCTTGGGTCCCTGCTCCCATGTGGGAGACCTGGAAGAAGCTCCTGGCTCCTGGTTTTGGATCAGCCCAGCTCTGGCTGTTGTGGCCATTTGGGGAGTGAACCAGCGGATGGAAGGCCTCTCTCAGTTTCTGCCTCTGCCTTTCTCTCTGTAACTCTGCCTTTCAAATAAATAAACATCTTAAAAGAATTTTGTAGTTTTAGCTTTTAACACCGTTAGCTAATTTTATATGTGGTGTGAGATAGAAGCCCAGCTTCGTTCTTTTACATATGGATACCCAGTTGTCTATGACTTTTTATTAGAAAGACTATCCCTTCTTTTTTGTTTTGGCATCATTGTTGAATTGACCATAAATGTAAACATTAATTGATTTTCAAAGTTCCCAGTTGTATTTTATTGGTCTGTATAATCTGTATCACATTGTCTTGATTACTGTTAGTTTTATAGTTATCAAACCTAGAAGTGTGACTCTTCCAATTCTGTTCTTTTCAAGATTGTTTTGACTATTTTAGATCCCTTGCATTTTCACATGAATTTTAGAATTAACTTGTTGATTTCTGCAAAAAGGCACATAGGATTTGGTAGGTTGAATTAGGTCAATTTAAGGAGTATTGCCATTGTAACAATATATATATTTTAAAGATTTGTTGTTTATTTGAAAGACAGATAGGGAGAGAGAGAGAGAGAGAAAGAGAGAAAGAGGTCTTCCATCTGATGATTCAGTCCCCAAATGGCTGCAGTGGCTGGAGCTGAGCTGATCTGAAGCTAGGAGCCAGGAGCTTCTTCCTGGTCTCACTTGTGGGTACAGGGGCTCAAGGAGTTGGACCATATTCTGCTGCTTTCCCAGGTGCAATAGCAGGGAGCTGGATCGGAAGTAGAGCAGCCAGGACTCGAACCAGCACCCATATGGGATGCCGGCGCTGTAAGCCAGAGTTTTAACCCACTGTGCCATGGCGCCAGCCCCCATTGTAACAATATTAAGCCATCTGATTATTGTACATGGGTGTCTTTTCATTTATTTATGAATTTCTAATTTTTCCATATGTTTTATAGAACTTTAATGTATAAGTCTTCTATTTCTTTGGTTAAGCTTATTCTTAACTACTGTATTTGGTTTATTTTATTTTTGTTTTTATTTTTGAAATTACTTTTTATTTAATTGGAAGGAAAGGAGGGAGGGAGGGAGGGAGGGAGAAAGAACAATCTTCCATCTTCTGGTTCACTCCCCAAATGGCCTCAAGAGCCAGGGCTGGGCCAGGCCTAAGCCAGGACCCAGGAACTCCATCCAGGTATCCCATATGTGTGGCAGTGGTCCAAGTACTTGGGCCATCATCCACTGCTTTCCCAAGCACAATAGCAGGGAGCTAGCTCAGAAGCAGTGTAGCCAGGATTTGAATTGCTCTCTGGTAATGCTGGTGTCACAAGCAATGGCTTAGATTGTTCATTTCCAATGTATAGAAATTAAATATATTTTTGTGTGTTGACCTTGTATCTTATAACCTAATAACTTATGTATTCTATTAATTTCTTAGTGATATCCTTTAGGACTTTTTATATATAAGATTGTATTGTCGCTAAGCTTTTTCCTTTCCATCCTAGATGCTTTGTAATTTTTTTTTCCTTTCCTAATTATCTGCCTAGATTGCCCAGTATATTGCTGAATAGAAGAATGAGATAGGGCTGTTCCTATCTTTTTCTTGATTTTAGGGGAAAACTTTTAGGTTTTCATCATTGTGATATTAGCTTTGGAGTTTTCTGGATGTGCTTTGTCATGGTAAGGAAATTCTCTTTTATTTCTAGATTAGATAGTTTTTCTTATGAAAAAATTTTGGATTTTGTTAAGTGCATTATTTTCTGTGTCTGTCCTTTATTTTATTAACATGGGCTATTACACTGGTTTCAGACATTAAACCCATCGTGCTTTCCTGGGATCCTTGTTGTTTGTGATATATTATTCTTTTTATATTTTGCTTGGTTTGCTTTGCTGGTTTTTCTTTAGTGATTTTTGTGTCAGTATGTATGCAGAGTATTGATGTGTAGTTTTCTTTTCTCATGATCTTTATCTCATTTTGGTGTTAGGAGTACTGGTTTCAAACAATGAGTTGGAATTTTTGAAGGATTTGCATTAATTCTTTAAGACTAATGGTATTTTTGTTTTTGTCTTTCAGGATTCTCCTTTTACAAATGCAGGAATGGGATCTAATCTAAATCTCTTAGGTGAAATTGAATGTGATGCCAGCATAATGGACGGGAAATCCTTAAATTTTGGAGCTGTTGGAGCATTGAGTGGTATGTGAACATTATAACATACTATCTCTAATCTCTGAAGAACTGTGTTTTACCATTTTATGACACAATAGGACATATGCCAGTCTTTTTCACCACTCTTGCTTGGAATAGCGTTGCAAACAAACATTTTTTGTTCTTTTGCTGAATTTAAAACTTAAATTCTTAGCTATGAACAGTTTAAATAAAAACATCAAAACATTTTATGTCCAAGTTTTTGATTTTAATATGATCATTCTCCATTCCTTCAAGAGCTTATATATATGATAGACATGATTTAGTATAATTTATGATTCTAAAATATGCAAATAATGTGTTTTTATCATCAAAAGTTCAAGTAATATAAATAAATTGACCTTTGATTCCCCCGAATTTTCTCTTCCCATTCTCATGCCCCCTTGTGATTTAATCAGCAAATATGTTGTGTGTCTATATTTTTATGTAATAGAGACAGTTTTATTTTGTGGATGTGGTTGCTCTTTTTCTTTTCTTTTTTTTTTTAATTTATTTGAAGGAGTTAGAGAGAGGAAGAGACAGAGAAAGACAGATCTTCCATTCTCTGGTTCATTCCCCAAATGGCCACAACCTCCGTACTTGGGCTAATCCGAAGCCAGTAGGCAGGTCTCCTGTGTGGGTGCAGGGTTCCAAGTACTTGATCCATCTTCTACCACCCTCCTAGACCATCAGCAAGGAGCTTGATCAGAAGTGGAGCAGTCGGGACCCGAACTTGCTCCTATATGGGATACTGGCACTGCAGGCGGCGGCTTTACCTGCTATGTCACAACATCTACCCTCTCACTAATTTTTTTTTTAACTTTTATTTAATGAAT